ACTCAGAAAAATTGATAAATCACCCCAAATTACTTAACACGATTTTATCTCAGGAACTATAAGTGCAAATGAGCTGAAATTTTCAGGGATTGTAGTCCTTTGAAAAAGATAAAATTCAGTGAAAGATTCAGCTTTCTATCTATAATAGAAAAAAAGTTATGACCTTCCAAAGTTTCCCAAAATCTAAATCATAAGGTAGGTACCTTCTTACTAAAACGATGAAATTTCAAATTTTTTTTTGTCAAGATTTTGTATTCTTATGGTCAATCAACATCCCCCAAACTTCATACACTAAATTATTCTCAGATTTGAAGCCGAAATCTATGAAAAAAGGCACTCAGAAAAATTGAAAAATTGATAAATCACCCCAAATTGCTTAACACGATTTTATTTCAGGAACTATAGGTGCAAATGAGCTGAAATTTTCAGGAATTGTAGTCCTTTGAAAAAGATAAAATTCAGTGAAAGATTCAGCTTTCTATCTATAATAGAAAAAAAGTTATGACCTTCCAAAGTTTCCCAAAATCTAAATCATAAGGTAGGTACCTTCTTACTAAAACGATGAAATTTCAAATTTTTTTTTGTCGAGATTTTGTATCCTTATGGTCAATCAACATCCCCCAAACTTTATATACCAAATTATTCTCAGATTTGAAGCCGAAATCTATGAAAAAAGGCACTCAGAAAAATTGAAAAGTTGATAAATCACCCCAAATTACTTAACACGATTTTATCTCAGGAACTATAAGTGCAAATGAGCTGAAATTTTCAGGGATTGTAGTCCTTTGAAAAATATAAAATTCAGTGAAAGATTCAGCTTTCTATCTATAATAGAAAAAAAGTTATGACCTTCCAAAGTTTCCCAAAATCAAAATCATAAGGTAGGTACCTTCTTACTAAAACGATGAAATTTCAAATTTTTTTTTGTCGAGATTTTGTATCCTTATGGTCAATCAACATCCCCCAAACTTTATATACCAAATTATTCTCAGATTTGAAGCCGAAATCTATGAAAAAAGGCACTCAGAAAAATTGAAAAGTTGATAAATCACCCCAAATTACTTAACACGATTTTATCTCAGGAACTATAAGTGCAAATGAGCTGAAATTTTCAGGGATTGTAGTCCTTTGAAAAATATAAAATTCAGTGAAAGATTCAGCTTTCTATCTATAATAGAAAAAAAGTTATGACCTTCCAAAGTTTCCCAAAATCTAAATCATAAGGTAGGTACCTTCTTACTAAAACGATGAAATTTCAAATTTTTTTTTGTCGAGATTTTGTATCCTTATGGTCAATCAACATCCCCCAAACTTTATAAACTAAATTATTCTCAGATTTGAAGCCGAAATCTATGAAAAAAGGCACTCAGAAAAATTGAAAAATTGATAAATCACCCCAAATTGCTTAACACAATTTTATCTCAGGAATTATAAGTGCAAATGAGCTGAAATTTTCAGGGATTGTAGTCCTTTGAAAAAGATAAAATTTAGTGAAAGATTCAGCTTTCTATGTATAATAGAAAAAAAGTTATGACCTTCCAAAGTTTTTCAAAATCTAAATCATAAGGTGATGAAATTTCAAATTTTTTTTTGTCGAGATTTTGTATCCTTATGGTCAATCAACATCCCCCAAACTTTATATACCAAATTATTCTCAGATTTGAAGCCGAAATCTATGAAAAAAGGAACTCAGAAAAATTGAAAAGTTGATAAATCACCCCAAATTACTTAACACGATTTTATCTCAGGAACTATAAGTGCAAATGAGCTGAAATTTTCAGGGATTGTAGTCCTTTGAAAAAGATAAAATTCAGTGAAAGATTCAGCTTTCTATCTATAATAGAAAAAAAGTTATGACCTTCCAAAGTTTCCCAAAATCTAAATCATAAGGTAGGTACCTTCTTACTAAAACGATGAAATTTCAAATTTTTTTTTGTCGAGATTTTGTATCCTTATGGTCAATCAACATCCCCCAAACTTTATATACCAAATTATTCTCAGATTTGAAGCCGAAATCTATGAAAAAAGGCACTCAGAAAAATTGAAAAGTTGATAAATCACCCCAAATTACTTAACACGATTTTATCTCAGGAACTATAAGTGCAAATGAGCTGAAATTTTCAGGGATTGTAGTCCTTTGAAAAAGATAAAATTCAGTGAAAGATTCAGCTTTCTATCTATAATAGAAAAAAAGTTATGACCTTCCAAAGTTTCCCAAAATCTAAATCATAAGGTAGGTACCTTCTTACTAAAACGATGAAATTTCAAATTTTTTTTTGTCGAGATTTTGTATTCTTATGGTCAATCAACATCCCCCAAACTTCATACACTAAATTATTCTCAGATTTGAAGCCGAAATCTATGAAAAAAGGCACTCAGAAAAATTGAAAAATTGATAAATCACCCCAAATTACTTAACACAATTTTATCTCAGGAATTATAAGTGCAAATGAGCTGAAATTTTCAGGGATTGTAGTCCTTTGAAAAAGATAAAATTTAGTGAAAGATTCAGCTTTCTATGTATAATAGAAAAAAAGTTATGACCTTCCAAAGTTTTTCAAAATCTAAATCATAAGGTGATGAAATTTCAAATTTTTTTTTGTCGAGATTTTGTATCCTTATGGTCAATCAACATCCCCCAAACTTTATATACCAAATTATTCTCAGATTTGAAGCCGAAATCTATGAAAAAAGGCACTCAGAAAAATTGAAAAGTTGATAAATCACCCCAAATTACTTAACACGATTTTATCTCAGGAACTATAAGTGCAAATGAGCTGAAATTTTCAGGGATTGTAGTCCTTTGAAAAATATAAAATTCAGTGAAAGATTCAGCTTTCTATCTATAATAGAAAAAAAGTTATGACCTTCCAAAGTTTCCCAAAATCTAAATCATAAGGTAGGTACCTTCTTACTAAAACGATGAAATTTCAAATTTTTTTTTGTCGAGATTTTGTATCCTTATGGTCAATCAACATCCCCCAAACTTTATAAACTAAATTATTCTCAGATTTGAAGCCGAAATCTATGAAAAAAGGCACTCAGAAAAATTGAAAAATTGATAAATCACCCCAAATTGCTTAACACAATTTTATCTCAGGAATTATAAGTGCAAATGAGCTGAAATTTTCAGGGATTGTAGTCCTTTGAAAAAGATAAAATTTAGTGAAAGATTCAGCTTTCTATGTATAATAGAAAAAAAGTTATGACCTTCCAAAGTTTTTCAAAATCTAAATCATAAGGTGATGAAATTTCAAATTTTTTTTTGTCGAGATTTTGTATCCTTATGGTCAATCAACATCCCCCAAACTTTATATACCAAATTATTCTCAGATTTGAAGCCGAAATCTATGAAAAAAGGAACTCAGAAAAATTGAAAAGTTGATAAATCACCCCAAATTACTTAACACGATTTTATCTCAGGAACTATAAGTGCAAATGAGCTGAAATTTTCAGGGATTGTAGTCCTTTGAAAAAGATAAAATTCAGTGAAAGATTCAGCTTTCTATCTATAATAGAAAAAAAGTTATGACCTTCCAAAGTTTCCCAAAATCTAAATCATAAGGTAGGTACCTTCTTACTAAAACGATGAAATTTCAAATTTTTTTTTGTCGAGATTTTGTATCCTTATGGTCAATCAACATCCCCCAAACTTTATATACCAAATTATTCTCAGATTTGAAGCCGAAATCTATGAAAAAAGGCACTCAGAAAAATTGAAAAGTTGATAAATCACCCCAAATTACTTAACACGATTTTATCTCAGGAACTATAAGTGCAAATGAGCTGAAATTTTCAGGGATTGTAGTCCTTTGAAAAAGATAAAATTCAGTGAAAGATTCAGCTTTCTATCTATAATAGAAAAAAAGTTATGACCTTCCAAAGTTTCCCAAAATCTAAATCATAAGGTAGGTACCTTCTTACTAAAACGATGAAATTTCAAATTTTTTTTTGTCGAGATTTTGTATTCTTATGGTCAATCAACATCCCCCAAACTTCATACACTAAATTATTCTCAGATTTGAAGCCGAAATCTATGAAAAAAGGCACTCAGAAAAATTGAAAAATTGATAAATCACCCCAAATTACTTAACACAATTTTATCTCAGGAATTATAAGTGCAAATGAGCTGAAATTTCCAGGGATTGTAGTCCTTTGAAAAAGATAAAATTCAGTGAAAGATTCAGCTTTCTATCTATAATAGAGAAAAAGTTATGACCTTCCAAAGTTTCCCAAAATCTAAATCATAAGGTAGGTACCTTCTTACTAAAACGGCGAAATTTCAAATTTTTTTTTGTCGAGATTTTGTATTCTTATGGTCAATCAACATCCCCCAAACTTCATACACTAAATTATTCTCAGATTTGAAGCCGAAATCTATGAAAAAAGGCACTCAGAAAAATTGATAAATCACCCCAAATTACTTAACACGATTTTATCTCAGGAACTATAAGTGCAAATGAGCTGAAATTTTCAGGGATTGTAGTCCTTTGAAAAAGATAAAATTCAGTGAAAGATTCAGCTTTCTATCTATAATAGAAAAAAAGTTATGACCTTCCAAAGTTTCCCAAAATCTAAATCATAAGGTAGGTACCTTCTTACTAAAACGATGAAATTTCAAATTTTTTTTTGTCAAGATTTTGTATTCTTATGGTCAATCAACATCCCCCAAACTTCATACACTAAATTATTCTCAGATTTGAAGCCGAAATCTATGAAAAAAGGCACTCAGAAAAATTGAAAAATTGATAAATCACCACAATTGCTTAACACGATTTTATCTCAGGAACTATAAGTGCAAATGAGCTGAAATTTTCAGGGATTGTAGTCCTTTGAAAAGGATAATTTTCGGTAAAAGATTCAGCTTTCTATGTATAATAGAAAAAAAGTTATGACCTTCCAAAATTTTCCAAAATCTAAATCATAAGGTGAGATTTGGTGTTTCAATTATCCATTCACAAAACAGAAGGTTTATATTTCATATATAGCTAATTCATTTAAAATCTTGATGATTCATTTATTTCAAAATAAAAATATTGTACATACAGGGTGTGTCTCAAAAAAAAAAATATTATCTACATCCACACTGTTTCACAACAATGTCGCCGTAGTTCTTCAGAACAACGTTGCCAAACTTATTCGCAAACATTATCGGATAGCTCCAATATCCTGTCGGAACGCAGCAGATTTTTTCTCTCGTCCCGTGAGCCAAAAGCCTCAACTTGACGTGGTTGTTTTCCTGAAAATTGTGACATTTGCCTGCACACTCGTAGATCGTGAGCCCATTTTCCGGAAATAGAATGAACTTGTCCCAATGGAAATGGCTGAAGTTGATTCGGAATTGTCTTTTTGAACACGTTGGTGTAAATTTTGATGTTGAGGTTTGGTTTTGGTTGATCGAAGTCGATATTGAGGCGTTACTGTTTTCAATATTAAGGACTGCAAACGTTCTTAAAGCTCCTTGATTTGTGTCACTGAATATTGATATTAGTTTGTTATCTTCATAAGTCGATATCGTTAGTAATAGGCCTAAATTGTCTTCGCCATTGTTCCAATTGTCTAAAGGTTTTTTGATTTTGAAAGTCTAAAATTGAATTATGTGAGCTGTTAGGAAGGTAACAAAATAATACAGGGTGAGTCAGAGTAAAATTTCTACTCTTATTCTACTAGTATATCACTACTCTGAGTCACCCTGTACAAATCCGTTTATATAAGTAAGTATACAAACCTGCCATCCTTTTTGGGCCTTCGCAATATAAATAACATTAAAGAGCCTGTGAATATCCGGATTTTCCACCAAATTTGACTCGTTTAGGGCACTGTTGTCAAGCTTTTCAAATTGATACAGTTTCAATACAACTGACGTTTTAAAGATGCTACAAATTAAGTTCTAATAAATAATTGATATATTTGTAATAAATTACCTGGATGTGTTTTCCAAAGGCCAATAAAAATACATGTCAGCATCTGTGATATTTTCGCCGGCTTTTAATTCGAAATCAAACTTAAATACTTTGCTACGATTTCGGTTCGAATTGAAATAAATTCGAACAGTATCAGTTTTATTGGTATCTCTGAGTCGTTGTTCGTATATTTTTTTGATGAACACCGGTAGCTGACTTTTGTTTATGGGTTTTTCTTCGTGGTAGTAGTCCCATTCCGGGTCCAAATAGAATTTTTTTGGGACACCCTATATAATGGAAATAATTGGTATAATAATACTGGGTAATCAAAAACACTTACATTTCTTAGTTCACTACTATTATTCCCTAAATGATTTCTGGGGTTCACTTTGACCACTTTAATGTTTTGCGGCGGATGAGGGTTGACATCGTAATCGCTTATGTTGTGATTTAAAAAGTGCATCCGATTGTACACAGTGAATTCGTTATTGTTGCCAGCATTGGTTTTGGTCTTGAAAAAGTAGGACCTTCCTTCGGAAAAGTTTAGCGCAAAAATTGAAGGAAGGATCATCAAAAAAGTAACTCGAAGAAGCATAATTATCTACAGTGTTCAAGCAAACAGTACGCGTAACAATGTTATTAGTTTTGTTTAAATGAAAGAATCTAAATAAGATAATGGGGGCTAAATTTTGCAATTTAAGAAATAACGTGGGCCTTAAATGATGTCACGCAGTGATAATAATTATGGAATTATGTCAATGTCGGATCATCAATGAAAATATATACCGCCGTTCATAAATACTATGAATGAAACAACAAACTAATAAAACTCATAGAATTATGCAAAATATTGGAACAAAAGATAATTATATAAGTTCTAAAAATTGAAAATACTCTACGAGGAAAATTTACTTAGTTCTTATGTTCTTAAAGAATAGAGGTTTATATGGGCGAAATTTTGTTTGGGATATCTGGAATTGTATTTTGAAAAATGTATTTTCTAGAGACGAGAGAATGTTGTCTCTCGTCGAAAATTTCTAGTCTCTCAAACAAGATAAATGTATTGCTCCATTGCTATTAAATACATAGCTAAATAAAGAACGTTTTTTTTATGCCTTCTTTCTTAAACGATGAAACTTTTTTTTTTTTTGTTGAGATTTTATGTCCTAATGGTCCTTTGGGATCCCCTGAATTTAATACACTAAATTATTCTGAGATTTGGAGCCAGAATCTATGGAAAATGGCACTCAGAGAAATTGAAAAATTGATAAATCACCCCAAATTGCTTAGGTACACATTTTATTGCTGGAATTATAAGTCCAAATGAGCTGACATTTTCTGGGATTGTAATCTTCTACTGGGATAAGAATCGCTGAAAATTTCAGCTTTTTATCTTTAATAGAAAAAAAATGTATCTTTAATAGAAAGAAAAGTTATTCAAAGTTTTCCAAAATCTAAATCATAAGGTAGCTACATTTTCACTAAAGCGATGAAATTTCAAACTTTTTTGTTGAGATTTTGTGGCGTAATGGTCCTTTGGGATCCCCTGAATCCCATACACTAAATTATTCTGAGATTTGGAGCCAGATTCTATGAAAAAAGGCACTCAGAAGAATTGAAAAATTGGTAAATCACCCCAAATTGCTTAACATGTTTTTATTTCTGGAACTATAAGTTTTCGAAGTTGGGTCGTGGGTCGCTGACATCAAAGTGTGATTTCTCATAATATATTTGAGAAAAAATCCATAACTATGTAATGATCCAGAAATTAGACCCGTTAATCACAATGTCTTTACTGTAAAAATTAAATAATTATCAAATAATCAAAAACTTAATTTCCGTTATTTCTAAATCACTATCGATAAATTAAAATGAAACAAATTAACGCTAAAATATTTCGACACCCAGCGTGATGTCATCCAACATCCGATCAATGAACTTTTTTTAGCGAGGCCATCGCGTACCTAATTAAATCGAATGATTTATGGCATTTTTGAACCAATAATGTTTTGACCTCGATAAATCAGGATATTGCGACATAATTATTCGATTTTTTAGACTAAAAATGATAAAAATTTCAAGGAAATTGCATCATCTTAATTGTCATGGACAGAGAAAATTGGGGGGATCGATTTAATATAAATACCGCGGTTTTAGAAGAAGAAGGCAGTTGTTAGTTGTTAGTTGTCAGTTGAGAGATGAGGTCGAAGTCCTGTCTAGTTTGAGTTAAAATCTACAGTACCTAAAGTGTCAGTCCAAAAAGTTTCTTGTATTGCCTCGGTTACAGTCTTTGAAAAAGTAGCGAAAAAATTTTGAAAGAAAGAACAATTAAATTCGTCAACATTTATGTGCGTGCTAGCTAAAAATTTTGAGTAATTAATCAAGTAATTTCACGTGTGCAAAGTAAAATGTAAGTACTTTAGTGTTTAATAATTTTCTGACTTTTATCAATGATTCTGAATGATAAGAAGTGAATTAACAATGACTTTTAATGCCTAAAAACTTGAGTGATTTTTACTAGAAAAACTTTTGACTTTATAATTAACTGTGGAACTTTATTGCATAAATATCAATAACTCGAGTGTTTTGAAAATGGAACATTATTGCATAACTTTGATTGCCTTCAGATATAATGACATTCTAATTTAATTTTGCACCAAAAATATGAAGGGAATTTATAATGCACTTACCAATATACAATTTTGACTATTTTGAGTAGGGATTATGAATTAAACAGTTGGGTTTATTAGCTAGGCATAGGAATCCGAAAATAGAATTTGTTCTGAATAATACTATTAAATGCAATAGGAAATTTTGAAAAAAAAACTTGATGTTCATGAAATAGAATTGTTGTCTTAAAAATAATGGAAAGTTGTTAAAGGAAACTTATAATAGAATTTGTTCTGATTATAAATAAACTATTGAATGGAATAGGAAATTTTGAAAAGGAAAATTGTTGTTGAAATGAAATGAATTTTGAATTAGGATTTTTATTTTTCAAGTAGAAATTATTGTAAGGTTTTATAAGAATAAGTTAGTATAATACCTATATTGATAAACAAATAGGTAATTATTTTGGGTTTTCATAAGTAATCAGTAAAGAAATTTTTAAGAATTTATATAAATAGGTGAAGGGTAGTTAATAGGTAGCAGCTCCAAGTAAATAAACACCATCAATATACCGCTCGCCATTTACCATCTAACTAATTACATAGAGTACTTGGGGCGTTTTGCTACAAATATGTGTAGGGAAATCGGAAGTGGGTTTCTTTCTACCATACAGAACGTTAGTTAATTCTAGACAAAAAAAATCTATATCACAAAAACAAAATATCGATTTTTTCTCCAAACGTCAAAAAAACGTCACTTTGTTGGCACCTGTCAAGATGTTAGAAATTTAATTTCTATGCTGGTAGGCAAATCCAGCAGGTTAACACCTGTCGAGGTGGTAGAAATTTAATTTCTATGCTGCTTGGCAACCCCAGCGGCAGCAAAAGTACTTTTAGTGCCGCTGGAGCGGCAGTAAAAATACTTTTAGTGCCGCCCGTCCCGAAGGTAAAATCTTAATAAATGTTTTTTTACGATGTACCTTCTTATTTTAAAGCTATTTTTGTTTACAGATTCTCCATGTAGTAAAGATGACATGATAGTTGCCTTATCAATCCACTCACTGTTGCCACCTTGCATCAAACACGCCTTATAAAAAGAAAACAACAAGGTAATTGTTAATGTGTCATTTCAAAAATAAATACCGCTACTTTGAACACTGTGTTTTAATTCGACGAAATTACCTGCCTACAAAGTATATAGACAAAAATAAGTTTGAACAAGCAAAAAAAAATGTTAAGGTACCATCTAATGATACAGCAAACAAAAAATAGTTTACCAACTGAATGATTGGTATTGTACCTTCTATTTTGTTTCTATAACAAAAAATTTTGGATACTGAACAATTATTCAGTTACTCAACTTAATAATTGTTACTGAGCATGAATAATTGTCATTATACACTCTATTTTGTTGCTACAACAAAAAATTTGGTTACTGAACTATTATTCTGGTAAAAATATGTTTAACTATTAATTTCTGGTTGTTATAACTATGAATGAAGGTGGATAGGCGCATTTTCATAATAATATGCTCTTTTTGGTTGATTTGACCTATCATTTTCTTTGAGTGCAAGTTTTCTCAGGTGTTAGGTCATTAATTAATGCTCGAATCAATGAACTATAGTCAAAAACTGGAATGCGCACACATTGCCATATCTGCCAAAAAAATGTAGCCATGAAAGACAGATGCTACAAAGGGGAATGTTGTTTTTTTCTGTTGCTCGCTGATGACGTTTTGGAAAGTTTTGTCATATTTACCTTCACAGGTTTCATCAATTGGAATACGTGTAGGAAGCAATTTCCGCCATTTAACATAATGAGTGCGACAAAAACAGGTATCCCCTCCGCAGCAGCTGCACTAGGCTTCACGTTCGTCCTTATGTGTTAGCATTCCAGTTTTTGGTTATAGTTCATTGGCTCGAATGCATCAATTTTTGTTTTTTGGGGGACACATTTTATAAGTATTTTCACCCCTTACCTGTAAACCCCTAAGCGGAGGTAACAGGTACCCCCAACATTTCAAATGGAAAGGAGGGTCGAGTGATGCGTCATTCAATAGCAATTTTTATTAGGATTATATCCCCAAAGTTTTCAAGTTGCTACTATGTCAAAATGCCGGCTTGTCAAAGTTGCGTGGTTATGTTACCTCCTAATGACGAAACAATAGATTTTTCAAATGAATAAACATAAACCATTTTTAACTGAACTGTTAAATGACAATATTTAAATTAAATACCGATGTTATTTTATTACGGAAACATCCGTTGTTTTGTTATTATGTGATGAAAACCACACAGTTCAGATACTTAGAAAAAAGCATTTTTACTAACTTTGACAAGCCGCCATTTCGGCAGGGTAAATAGTAGTTACTTAAAACCTTGGGGATACAATCTTAATAAAAATAGCTATCGAATAACGTATTACCCCATTTGAGATTTTGGGGGTATCTGTCATCCCCGCTTAGCGGTCGACAGGTAGAGGGTGAAAATACCAATAAAATGTGCCCCAAAAAACAAGCGATTTTCGAACACCTAACCACTGTTGCCAGGTCAAAAAAATTAAATTCACCAGAAATTGGAATGAAAAATCACCAGATTAAAAAAAAAAATCACCAGAAATCTTGAAAGTTGATTTTTCAGGAAAATTCTCGCCTTACGGGCTTATATCAAACCAAGTAGGCTTTGAAAACATGTATGTATTGCAATGTCGGTCTAACAGAGCGCAATATTTAAATTTTAAAACTTTGCAATGCCTACTTTGTCCCTTGTCAAACAGTGTTGCCAACTACAACTTATAACAAATATTGTGTCAATCATTGAGGCTCGAATTTATACAAAAAAAAAGCCCAAGTAGGCCTTGCAAATTTCAAATTTTCCATAACAGTAATTATATAAACATCGGCAACACTGTTGGGGCAAAATGTCAAATATCATTTATCACAAGCGATAAGATAACTACTTATCAAAAAATAAGTGAACCTTGAAGCAATCCTAGACTGGGATCATGACAAGTAGAATTCTATTTTCATGACGT